GATATTGTAAGCAACATGTTGCCTAGTGTATGGGGGCCTTTATGAAGACTAGTTGACTCCAGGAGCTATTGTACTGTTTATCAGGAAGAACATGACTGTTTTAAGAGTAAAACACACTGCCGAAATAGCAGCCATATCTCTATGAATATCATTATAAAACGTCATTAGTGACGTAACTACATTTTTCAAATTCCAATGCAGCTGCTTCCACTTCCGGTCCATTCTCAGTTGGGACATAGTATAGTAATATGGTACAGGTACATTTACCTCATTAAATCGCTTGGTCCAAATACGTTCATGTTTTTTTGCCAATTTTTTATCAGAAAAATTACCAATCTTAACAACAATAGATACTAAATTTCACATTAAAAGGAATCAAAAGAATTAAGGTCAAATTAATAAAATAACATTCACATACTTGATAGAAGAGTCACGTGAAATAATTCTGAAATTTCTCCTCCTTTAAAATATAATTCGCAATGCCTTAAGAATGATTTAGCAGTAAGCTCAAAAACATTGGACGGCTTGGGTTTATCACCCATTCCTAACATTTCTGATCTAAAATCTCCACTAACAATTATAACAGAGTTAAACCAAAGCAAAAAAACAATTATTGCAACTCACAGTTTTACAAAGTGCTCTACCTGCTCTGCTACTGTCTCGATTTGGACCTTTTTCAATTCATGTAAATAATGAATCATAACTAAGTGAGCATTTTTATCCACAGATTCATTGCTAAGGATGGCAGAAATATTTTAGTAGAGGCTACAGTGTATTTAACATAAAATATGGGTCAAAATTATACTTAGAGGTATTCTATTCTGTAAAGAGATAAAATTAATTATTTGTATAATGCTACAATCATCAAAATTTGTTTATTTCCTTAAATCAGCTCCATCAATAGCCTACCAATAGTTTGTATAAGCCAAATCAAAGTAGAAGATGAAGTCCTTAGGAAACATGTAATCAAAGTGGATTGGCTGATGCAAGAGGTGAAATATACAGTTTACACTGGAGGAAACTGCAAGTTGCACATCAATATGGTTCTAAAAATAAAAAGATAGCAATAGTTATTAATAATAAGATTTATTTTGTAGATGGGCCAGTGCAACTTAAAACATCCTTTCCGCCCCAATTTTGCATGTTGGCCAACTATCAAAGTAGTCTATGCATTGCAATACATATCAGAATAGCAGTAAAATAGTAAATGATAAGGATACTATAATAACTATTATTCTTTCATTGTTATTTTAGTCAAAGATACATGACCTTTAAGGCTCAAAAAGGGCTACTACGAGTAAAGGCTGGTTCACAATATGACGTTAGGCCAACGTACTGTCAATTTTTAATCAAAAGTATGGGCGATTTGACCTTTTGATGCATGCTTTCCACTGGAATAGAACCAAATTCTATTCCAGCGTCAACGTAACGTCAGGATTAACATAATATTGTGAACCAGCCTTAATTTTGGAGGGAGGATTTTTTGGTGAACTGCTAGATTGACTGGCAAGTAAGTGAAATTGTGCAATGTGAATAATGGATTTCTGTTATAGTTCATCAAACTGCCAAAATTTCCATCCAAGATCTAGGACAACTCAAATCAAAAATTGATTATTAAATATTTGTAAACAGAGAAATATGCTTACATGTAACATAAAGCAAAAAATCTTAGCAGATAATTGATACAAACCCAAACGTACTTCCAAAGATTGATAGCAAAGGAAATCCAAAAAGCATGAAAGAACCCTCT